ATGGGGTCCCCATGTCTGCTTTCCCCGCGTCTTCGTAGCAGGGCGTCCGGGGCCCTCCAAGCCATAGGTCCCGGGGCAGTTGCACCACCTGCACACCCGATAGCTACGCCCCCGGTGTACAGACCTGTGTTTGCTTTAGTGTGCGTTGGTATGTACCACTTTGACACGCACGTGGGTAGCGATGGCTTCAGTGATTCGCGTACCGCTCTACAAAATACGAGCACAGCACGAGTGGAAATTAACTGCAGAAACTGGCCTGAGCATCTCTTAGGGCTGCTCAGCCTGAAATGGGCAGGTGGTGCGATAGGCATCGAAAATGAGGAGCCACACGTGGCCGCACTGTTAGGGTTGGCTGGGCACTGCCTTTCATGTGCCATGCCAACATGTGTTTACTGATAGCCCTAGCCCCAGCAGTGTAACCACCTTGATGAATGGTCCTCATGTTTGTTGGTGAAGTGTTTTATTGCTGATAGAATTCGGAATAGGGTGTATGTATATAAAATCAGGGGTGCAACGATGCATTCATTGTTATCAATAGTTAAGCTCACGACACATGGACCTATTCACGTTTGTAAGAATCTGATTTTTGTGATTTGTACACGCTGTGTGTAATTGATCACGTGAACCCTGCAGCTGCTTTAAGCGTTGTCCATCACCGCAGCGTTAAAACAAGAATCGTTTGTTCGAATCGTTACCCCAAATTACGACAATTAATTGAATGGGTTGGTGGCTAGAGCGGGAGAGCGGCTCAATCGCTCCACCCCTGGTATTTAAAAGTACGCGCGTGCACATGTAAGTGTTCCTCCACGCTCATTGGCTCTTTCACTTCAGTGAACCTCCTCAAGTCGGTTCAGGAAGCGGTGCGCGTTAGTGCACGGATGCTGCCGTTTGAAATCGGCTGGAGGCCGCGCTGTTCCCTGGGGTTTGCTGTCCGATGCCAGATTTCTCTGGGCGTCGTGCATGTAGGTGAATCATCACTGTCGCTGGCCAACGGACCAAGCCCACGCTGCCGCCTCCCCACACATTGCTCTTTAGAGTAACGCTTTAATGTCGCTGTGAGCCCGTTGATCTTATTCATTGATGTATAGCTATTGAAATAAAGGTGTCCGTGCACAACAGGCAGCACAATTCGGCGGTCTGCGATGTGGGTGGGACCCACCTGTCCAAATCCTCATTACTCACGGCACACTATCAGTCACCACCTCTAATATGCAACTTCAGGTTTTTTTTATACATGTATATAGGTAATGATTGTTTCGGTGTCCTGGTATCATTGTCGCAAGTCCTGCAACGATGACGGCACAAATCGAGGCATTTTATTTTGGCGTAAGATTTGTTAGATTGTCTGAGCCTGGACTTGGCTATATTTTCATGGTCTCGGTTAATCGATTAAAAGCGATTGTCGTGCCCATGATAGTGCTTCAAATTGTGTGAATGATGTGCTAGTGTTACATTTAGCCCACAGGCGAACACAACTGTAGAAATGGGACAGCAAAAATGACAAACAGTACTGTATAAGCTATATGGTGAAAACAAGACGAACAATGTTGATTCTTATTTCGAATTATAATTGTGAATCATGGCAATTAACCCTAACCCTAATCGTTACGTGTCTAATATTTAAGGAATCGTAAGAATCTTCTCCGAAAAGGACAACCAGGCCCTTATAACCTGTGTTGTGTGCCTATAGTAGAGAAGATTGGCCTGATTGTCTGTTTCTTATTGGGCATACATGGCATGCTGCGTGAGAGTAGTGGTTACGTTTGTCAATACATATGGGTGAGTGTGCGTTTATGCTCAAGTCTGTGTTTGTGTGTGCGGGCATTCTGGATTGGGTTGGGTTTGTTTTTACGAAGAGCATTTGGCTGAAACAATGGTCAGGGGTGTGTGTGTGTGAGGGGGGAGCTGTGTGGTACGTTTGGAGTTGTGCTTGGCATGCCATCATGCCATTTCCACATTCCATTCCATTCCGAAACCAGAAACCGCAAACCATGTTTTGTTACCTGCCAAAAGAATTCCTGTCAAATTCAGTTGTGAAAACACTTGGTTTTAAATTACCAGACCACGGCGGCATACCAGTTTGGCCGATAACTTTGTGCGATTGTTGAGCACTGCTGCTGTGCCAATTTCATTACTGGTTCACGGTTATTCAGCAAAAATGTCAAGAGTTTCGCGAGGAAATAAAATAAAATAAAAATTACGGAAAGGCCCACAGTTAAAGTGGCGTTTTGTGGTCACTTTGAAATGGCTGTTTAAAAAAACGAGGCCTTTTACGGTCTTGACTAAGCGAGAGGCCTTGAGCGATTTTTGAACCTTGTGCTGATGGTCACACCACGTGCATCGGCGTCCACAACGGAGTGGGGGGGGTATGGCGGTTCTTCTTGCCATTACACATTACGATGTTGTGTAAGTTTTATTTTTAGACAATTTGCGCAAAGGAAGTTAAAAACGCAAAGCCGTTTAACCTCGGAAAATTGCCCGCGAGTGAGCGAGCCCCACGGCCGGCGGTTGTGGTTGCAGGTGATTGTGGGCGGAACGGTTGCGGGAGTTGAGAAAACAAGTTATTTAGAAATAGACAAACATGCACGATAAACTAATAATCACGCTTGAAATACCCAGAGGCCAGCCAACTGCAGCAGGCCATGAAACCCCAAACACGCTGGTGTTTGTTCTTTCCACGCTGTTGAATGCGCCTGGTGCCCGGTATGGGGGTATGAAGCTCCGGGTTGTAATTCGAGGGGCAACTTGCCATGTCGTGGCTTCGGCAAAATGCACAAACAAGCAGTCGAGTGTGGCGTTTATTTTCCTAAGCGATATTTTTAAATATGTTTTTTTCCTGTTTCATTCCACATATATTTACATGCTGTGGGACTTTAAAAAAATAAATAGCCTTAACCAAATGAGCAAGACCACCCGTTGAGTGTAACCTTATCTGCAGGGCCATGGGAGGTCTTCAGTGACAAGAGTGTTGGGTGGGGGGGGAGTTCTGGATTTTCCCAACCCAGACTAAGGCAGAGCTGGGGGTGTGAGAGCCGGGGTCAGGAGGTCGGTGTTTTGTTATCTGATTGGAGAAGCAGTTGAAAGATAATCAGAACCATGCAAGGAGAAAGAACGGGGGTGCGGCCGACTGCGATTTTCACCCGATGGATCGTGATGTAAGGATGAAAATTAAACCGTCAAATTGCGGAGCTGAAAAGACAGGCAAGAGGATGAGAAAAATGCATTCAGTCGCCAAAGTGGAGAGAGTGGATGTTGCCTTCAAAACCATGATACAAAGATCTCCCGTGTAGCTTTAACAAACTATTGGGGCAAGTGCTTTTAGCGAGCAGCTATGAAGGCCGGCTCGGCACACGAGGGGCTGGGTGGCCAGCACCACGCCCGGCCGCCTTTGTCTCTCTAGTGGTGATGCTTTACACACCACACCAGGCACTCATTTTAGGTTGAGTCGACTTAGGGGAGGCTCAGGGCAGCTTCAGATAATCGGGGAGCAGTAGTGTAACGGTTACTGCACTGTGCTATGAACCCTGTAACCCGAGTTTGACTCCCGCTCACGGCCACCACCAGTGATGATTAAAACCATTAGACCACATTAAAACACACAAACACAGACATCCACTCGCATACACTCTGACACACGCATGCGCATTGGCCCCTGAACTCGCAATGCTTCTGGCAGATGTTCAAAAACAGAAGCCAACTCCTCCAGCCAGGCATGTCTTGCCAAGATACTTATGTCCATTATGCGTAGAACGTAAGAATTGAAATATCCGAGAGTTTGTTTAAGGAAACAAAACATTCACACAAAATGTATTCTTCAACTAAAAATATTGATAATCTGTAAATCTTTTAAATGTTGCCCGCAGACCAACAACAAAGGGCCACCCCGCGCACCATTCGCTCTTTAATTGGCAGATGGAAAATAGAACCGTCATCTTTTATTACCGTATCCCTTGAGGTTTTAATGCTTCATTGGTTAGTCACATGGCATTTCGGGTAGCTTAATTCAGTGGCTTGCGAAAGCTGCATCGCCAAACCCCCCAAAACATCTACAGAACAAAAGGAGCGGATTTATCCGTCGTTGTGATTGCTGGTCAATGTGCTGCCATCCTTGCCTTGAGTCTCATGATGTCTTTTTTTACGTAAAAATCTAGTCCATGTCAAGGCACATTTAGAGACTCAAAAGACTGGCTGTTTGTTAATTGTACTGCTCCATGCCATTTGCTTTATGTGGTAAAAATAAATTTTAGTGTTGGCAACTTCACTGTGAGGCCTCCAAACTTGTTCGTGCCAGTCCTTCGGGTTTAGGCACCCCATGTGTGCCCACGTGTAATCAGGCAGGTCTGGGACATCCTGCACAGGTTAGGGTTGGGGTTAAGGTGAGGCTGAGGACACGGCTGATATCGGCCTCGCTGAAAGTGTTCTCTCGGCCTCACTGTCAAAAATCCATACTACTTCCTTTGTGTAACGTAAGAGGGCTGTTCCCCTAAATGTAATTTTGACCAACATTAATTTTATTTTTTAAGTTACAATTTACAAAAAAAATTATACATTAAGTAAAGTAAAAGTGCAGCCCTGCAATTACTTGGTCACGCTACTGTGTGAGCAGGCAAGGAGTCTCTCTAGTTCCCTCTAGAGAACCCCTCTAAGAGTGTGTTTGGCCTACTTATCCATTCTGGCTAGACATGTTGGAAGAGGTGGGGATACCCACACTTCAACTCCACCGCACACATTCTGCCAATACACTAACTGCTGCGTACCCTGTTGTACTGCTGGTTGGACAGAGGCGGAGGAGATAAAAAAAACTGGCACCATTGTTTAATCTGCCGAGTTAGGGAGATCGAATCGAAGCAGTGACCACTGGATTTTAAGTAAAATAATAACGCTTAATTCAAGAGCGCCTGGATGGACGTGCCGGTGAAATGGCCGACGATGGATGATTTATCTGATTGACGCTTTGTGTTTGTGCTCCCCCCCCCCCTTCTGTGTTGCGGTGCCTGCAGACGAACTCCATCTCGCCGTCAGACAGCCTGCGCGCCACAGAGAAACACCGCAGCTCCTCTGAGTACCTGAGCGACTCCAAGAAGAGGAAGGCTGACGACAAGGACTCTCTCAGCCGATACGTATGTGGCCATTGGCTTAGTCCCCTTTGACATTTGTTATTTGATTAAGCCAGCCGGGTAGGTTAGTGGTCAGCAGGCTCGCCGCTGAGCCAGTTTATCAAATATATATATAGCTAACGGACATCGATTATTGAATCAAACGCTTGCAGTCGGGGACCGCTGAGATAGGAAGCTGACGGGTTTTTTTTGTATAAACGTTGCCTATTTCATGGGTTCTTACGGAGTTGAAAGTGGGGACAGAGATTTGCGCAACAGGTTTGAAGGTAGGCATGTAAGGGTGCATTGATTCAACACTTAAAATACATTCTCGTGCTCAAGATGATGCATCAAATTGTGAGTGTGAGAATCAATGTTTTTCTCATCTGGTATGCAGTGTGTAATTGTATCTCCTAGAGTGTTCATGAAAGGTAATGATTTAGTCAAATTGTGACCCTGTATCGTGACAGTTCACAAGGAGGGCAAAGCGTTCGCATGCCTATTGGAGGGACTGGAGCTAGGATCTCTACAGGGCCCACCTCTGTATTCAGTCTTACATCCTTCTGTGAGGCCTATTGCAGGGTGTTTGTAAACCGACCATCAGTTGCCATGCAAAACTCTCTTTTCAAGCATGTTGTTTAAACAAAATAAATACCTTTAGCCTTAAGCATTTTCTTAATACCACATTGATAAAAAAAAATGTAAACAAAAATGTTTAAACGTCAAAAGTTAAGTAACCAGTTGCTTAACCCCTCTCACATTTAATATGCTTAGCAGGATGCTGCACGTGTTCCAAACGCCGCACTTTATTTTTAACTCGCAGGACAGCGATGGTGACAAGAGCGATGACAACCTGGTGGTGGACGTTTCCAACGAGGTCGGTTTCACAGCCGCACAGATTTTGAGCTTGCTGCGTGTCGGTGTTCACATACTTTTCTTAAATATCCTCACTAGGAGACCTTTACTCAGCACCTTCGCTAGTTTATAATTTTGTCTTAAAGAATGTTACAATATTGAAATGATACACAGTTGATGGAGAGAGGGCAACTGTGTTCATCCAAGCCCTCACTCGAGCACCATGCATTGCTACTATTTTATGTTGTCTTGTTTTTACACATATATACGGACTTTTTCCAAATTTTCCATCGAAAATTGTAGCGTTTTGGGAAGGCCTTCGTCCAGCAGTGGATTGCTCATGGCCGATGATTATATATTTGGCACTACATCTTATCGCATTCTTGTTTTTCTGTTGATTTTGTGGCACAGTACATATATTTAAAGTATATACCTACCTACCTTTCCAGTCATAATACAAATTCAACAGTCATACCTACCACAAATCCAAACACCTGCATACCTACAAATCTACATGCCTGCCTTCCAATCTTCCTCATTCTTGCATACCTACCTACCAACCCACCCTCCTTCCCCACCAAACTGCCTATGTACCTTCCCTACCCATCCCTCACCTCGTGGCCTTAAAAAAAAATGCAGTCGCATCGATGGCCGTCGTGTCGTACTCCCCCGCCAACATCGCGTCCCTCCTGTCGCCCTCGTTCCCGCAGGACCCATCGTCCCCGAGGGGCAGCCCGTCGCACTCGCCTCGCGAGAACGGCCTCGACAAGCAGAGGCTGCCCAAGCGCGATGTGGCCCCTAACAGCCCGGCGTCCGTGGGCTCCTCTCGCAGCACTCCCTCCTCCTCCAAGACCAAAGACATGGGCCACGTAGGTGCCGCACATCCACTACCGCCAACCCCCAACCCCCGCCACCCCCTCCCCCCGCCACCCCCTCCCCCCACCGCCACCTGCCGCACCAATACAGCCGCACTGCGAACAATGACGTGATTTTGTTGAAGAGCTGGCTGTTGAGTGCGTGCGTGCGTGCGCTTTTTCTGTCTCTGTCTCTCGGCGTCACAGAACGATAAATCAAACACGCCCATGTCCAAGTCGAACACGCCGACTCCGCGCAGTGACGCGCCTACGCCCGGCACCAGCGGAACGCCCGGCCTGCGCCCCGTCCTGGGCAAACCCCCGGGCATGGACTCCCTCGGTGAGATGCGCTGCACACAAAATCGTCCGCTCGTGCAATCGCACTTTCGTTTATTCCTACGTATGTATGTTCAACTTCTCTAGGGGCTTCCTAACATTGGAAGGAAGAGTGTTCCAGAGGGCTGCCGAAGCGCATCTGAAAGCGCGCAATGCAGTGACCGCCTTTGTTCGATGGTTAGCCAAGAGCCGCTGCGAGGATGACCCGAGTTTGCGTGATGGTTTATGCTCCTTGACGAGATTCATGTCCATTCATTCGTTTATTTGTCTTTCGGTAAAGTCACGTAGATCGGTTCAAAGAAAAGAACAAACCTATCTACGTGACTTTACCGAAAGACCCAAAGAATATGAATTCCTGCAGTCACGGAAGCTTTTAAGTCAAGATTTATTCACTCATTTGTTCATTCATTCGTGGGTGAATTTGTTTGTTCATTTGTTTGATTGCTCATCTGATAATTCCTTAATTTATTGAAGTCATTCCTGATCTTGGAATCCCAGACATTGCTTACCTACAGGACGGCAATAAAAGTGGAGTGAGAATAGTAATATTAATAGCATTTCACCAGGAGGTCTTCTCGTACAAAGAACAACATTTTCATTATAGTTCCAGGATAAACGTCGCAACGATATCAAAAGCTCACACTTCTACCACTCTTATGTCAATTAACTGCATTTGCCACTGATAACTAAGAAGAGAGCGTCCACACTCAACACCTAAACGCCTGAGACTTCTAGTTCGATCTTGTTTACGCTTTGTATTGACGAATCTTACATATTTTCTATATTTTTTTTTTTTGGGTGGTGGTGGTTGTACGTGGGCAGGCCCTGCCCTGAGGTCCCCGTTCGCCGGTCCCTACCCGGGCCCCTTTGGAATGATCCCGCACGCGGGTATGAATGGCAGCGAGCTGGGTAGCCCCGCGGGGGCCTACGCCAGCCTGCACTTGGCATCGCCGCAGATGAGCGCCGTGGCAGCTGCTGCCGCCGCCGCTTACGGACGTAACCCCATGGTGAGCCTTCGCGCGTGTGAACGTTTGTGTGTCTGTGTGTTTGTACATGCTGACAGCACTTGCCCCAATAGTATGTCAAGGCTTTACGGCGGATCTTTGTCTTTATGTGTTTGTACACGTGTATGCATGTGGGTGTGCATACGTGCTTGCACGTGCGTGTGACTATGTGTGGGTTTACGATCCTGTGCCTCCCCTACATCGACTCGGCCATAAATGAGTACCTGGTGCGGTGTGTAAAAACATCAGCACTGCGGAGACAAAGGCGGACAGGCGTGGGGGTGTTCACACCCACCCTCTGGTGTGCAGTGCCGGCCTTCATAGGTGCTCACTAAGAGTATTTGCCCTAAAAGTCTGTTCAAGGCTATAGTGGGGGGGGGGGTGGGAGGGGGGTCTTTGTCGAGCTGAGCCCACATGCGTGAATCTGTACGTACGTGAGTGTACGTGAGTGTGCGCATGGACTCACTCGACTATGAGATGGGCTCTTTACCGCTGTCGATGCACCTGTGTTGAACAAATCAATAAATATCCATTATTCATTTAAAAGCAGCTAAAAGCCCCTTGAGACTCAAAGTCTCTTTGTAAAGGACATCTGGAACACAAAAGCAATGCAGTGCCACATTTGATAACCGTTCAAAACAACAGGGTCGAAATATAAAAAAACAAAAAAACCTTAAACGAAAATGAAACAATCACTCACAGTTAACAATTAAAGTCTAAAAATAGAACGTAAGATTTCAAGTAAAGTGCATTATCATATGACATGTGCAGTATAGTTCAAAGGCACTTAAGCCATACTCTCCAAGCAACGAGTCTGATCGGTCATTAAAGGCTGCCCTGTAATAGGTTGTTTAAATTTTTCTAAATATCTATAAATATATCTAAATGTAAGAGAGCTTGACCATTGTTCCACGTAGAACGCTCACGCCCCGCGCCGTCGTTTGTGTCCCCCTCCCCAGGTCGGCTTCGATCCCCACTCCCACATGCGGGGTCCCGGGATCCCCTCGGGCCTGGCCTCTATCCCCGGCGGAAAACCGTAAGCACCGGCACAGGACTTGCGGCGGCACCTTTGTCGATCGCATGGGTGCCGTGCGTCCCCGATGGGACCGCGGGCTTGCGTGCGCGCACACCGGCGTATTTGATGGAACGCGCGTTTTGTCGGTGTCGCTTTGCTCTTCGGCCAACGCCTGTCTCGGGACCGTCGTGCAATGGATACGCTGTGTCTTGTGATGTTTTTTTTCTCATTAAAGTATATTTCAAATTAATGTGTGGCGTCTTTATCTCTGTGCGCTGCAACATCGCGTTCTCTTCGTGGGGGTTGTTTTGGTTTTTTTGCTCTGCCTTCCGTATTCTCCGCCAGCCAGCGCCTTGCATTCAGGCGTCTCTAATCCTCCATTTCGCCTTTCGCTGTCTCTCCGCACGCGCCCCTCAGGGCGTACTCGTTCCACGTGAGCGCTGACGGGCAGATGCAGCCCGTGCCATTCCCGCCCGACGCGCTCATCGGCCCGGGGATCCCGCGTCACGCGCGGCAGATCAGCACGCTGGGCCACGGCGAGGTGGTGTGCGCCGTCACCATCAGCAACCCGACGCGCCACGTCTACACGGGGGGCAAGGGGTGCGTCAAGGTGTGGGACATCCGTGACCCAGCCGGCAAGAGCCCCGTCTCGCAGCTTGACTGCCTGGTCAGTGCCGCGCTTACCCCATCTCCCAACGTCACATCACCACCTCCATCATCGTCCACCACCACCATGTGGGCTCGCTGAACAATGACCATTTCATTTAAAATGGCCAATTTTCAAAGAGGCTCAACCAGAATATATATGGTCAGCTGGATGTTTCTTCCTCCGTCAGCCCTGCCCACTTTTTAGTGACCACGCCTACTCGACCACTAGTAATGCCCACGCAGCTAGTAACCTCCACTCTTTCTGACGTTGGCCTCCACTACCGCTCGTAGGCCCCACCTAGTCCTCTGCCATCCCTGCCCACTACGCAGGTAGCACCGCTTCACTCATATCTCGAGTCGAGGACGAGTCCCGACGATTCTAAGCTGGTAAAAAAAAAATCCCGACTCTTCACAAATGCTTCGGGACATTAGGAGAGCCTTCATGAAATGACCGGGACTTTTCCCTGTCAAGCCGGGACGTTTAGTGGCTTCGCATCGAACGGTGCCCTATCGCGCACCCACCCTTGCAGAACCGGGACAACTACATCCGCTCATGCAAGCTGCTGCCGGACGGGCGCACGCTGATCGTGGGCGGCGAGGCGAGCACACTGTCCATCTGGGATTTGGCGGCACCGACGCCGCGCATCAAGGCGGAGCTGACGTCGTCGGCGCCCGCGTGCTACGCGCTCGCTATCAGTCCTGACTCCAAGGTGTGCTTCTCCTGCTGCAGCGACGGCAACATCGCCGTGTGGGACCTGCACAACCAGACGCTCGTCAGGTGAGGCTCGCGCTCTGGGTCTCGGCCGCACGTAACCAATCCGCGATCTTTCTACAGGTGCAGAGCTGGTGCAATTTGCCTTGAGCCTCAAATCTCTAAATCTGGTGGGGCCCTCACAGAGGGCTTCAGATGGGGCCTCGGACAAGGCTCTGAGAGAGTCTCATCTGGGAAAGTTTCGTAGTGCTTCTTTTAGAGGTTTGGTAGTTTTCGTGAAAAATATTAGTGTTGCCGTACGATGGACAATTACATAGATGGACGGATATATAGTACCTTGGCCTTTGTCCAACAGTGTATTTGTAAAGGGCTGTAGTTTGCAGAAGAAAATGTTCGTGCTGGACAGGGAAACGTAGCTTCATTGACCAACCTCTGCTCCCATGTGCGCGCGCGCGCGGCCCCATCACAGGCAGTTCCAGGGCCACACGGACGGTGCCAGCTGCATCGACATCTCGCACGACGGCATGAAGCTGTGGACGGGCGGCCTAGACAACACGGTGCGTTCCTGGGACCTGCGCGAGGGACGGCAGCTACAGCAGCACGACTTCACCTCACAGGTGAGCACCTTTACGCCATCACCACCATTTGCCACTGCCATGGCCATTGTCAAGGCCAGGATACAGAGTTGCTCAGTTGGATGTATTAGCAGAGTTCTCAGCTGTGAGAGCGTGGCTTCAGGCTTCTGCCAAGTTGAATTTGGCTCCAGTGTCATCAACAACATCAACATTTGTCAGAATCAGAATATGTATATATACTGGAGGAATCCGATGAGCTATGAAGCTCGTCGTCATCATCAGCATCATTGTATCCTGCTGCTGCTCTGGGATTACGAAATGCTGAAACTGCACCCCTTGGAGCAATATGAACAAAGATCGTCCTGTGCAGAAGCTGCTCATAGGAACATGGGATTTATGCCACTGACTGGACAATAAGTGAAGCCCATTGCTCGAGTGAGCTTTGTAGAACACTGACTCTTTCACTCTGATGAACTTGGGTCACCAGCATCGTTGGCTATTTTCATAACTACGATCGTCACTCGCACAGTCGATGGCATGGTCATCGTTACCAACACCACCACCATCATCACCATCACCGCCATTATCATCACTGTCACCGTCGTCTCCATCATTGTAATCACAACCATCACCTTCGCCAGTGTAGTTACAATCATCGTAAAACTTCTCCCCCCGGTTCACGTGCCATCAGATCTTCTCGCTGGGCTACTGCCCGACGGGCGAGTGGCTCGCCGTGGGCATGGAGAGCAGCAACGTGGAGGTGCTGCACTGCATGAAACCGGACAAGTATCAGCTGCACCTGCATGAGAGCTGCGTGCTCTCACTCAAGTTCGCCCACTGCGGTACGGCAAAACAAAGACAATGGTCCCCCCCACCTCCCCCCCATATCGCTCACCGAGCTGCATTGACTTCTGGTTGCTGAACGAAAACATGATACGGTCGTGCTAATTTCGCACAAAGTGCTTGCCACAAATGAACCACGATACTTTGCTGATGTCGTCAAGCACCATAAACCATCAGGCAAACTCCGGTCATCCTCGCAGCTGCGGATTTTGACTTGCCATCGAACAAAGACGGTCACTGCATTGTGCGCTTTCAGATGCGTTTTTGCGGTCGTCTGGAATGCTTTTTCTTCTGACATTAGGAAGCAACTGGAGCTATGCACATTTGAAACAAAATTTTAAAACGAATTTCTTTAGAACTGCTTTTTGTATTCAGTTTGTTGTCCTTCCCCTGCACCTCCGATTATCACGGTTGGATACGTATGGTGCGAAAGAAGTTCAACATACGTACAACACGCGCACATATGCACGTGTGCAATTTTCATCAAGCGTGCCTTTGCCGCCGTTTGAATTTCTGGTGGATTGTTGTGTGTGCACTTGAAAGTCGGCGGAATGCGTGATCGTTGACATGGCGTCGCACTCTGCGCTGTGCAGGCAAGTGGTTCGTCAGCACGGGCAAGGACAACCTACTCAATGCCTGGAGGACACCGTATGGGGCCAGCATCTTTCAGGTGAGAATGGTGGTTTTGCAACAAAAGGATGAGGGGCGGGGTGGGTCGGCGGAGAGGCTTAATTTATCACCGAATATTTTCCAGGTCGCCGGTGAGACTGGCTGATAGTATGTGACTAGTAGCCACAGCCATAGCCAAAGGTGTACTAAATCTGAGTGTGGAAATATTTTCCGGTTTGCTGACCTATACAGACCCGGGGCCGAAATTAAACCCCGTATGGGTTTTGGCGGTTGCGCTGCATAGCTCTGGGGTTACGCACCATGCATCGTCGGGCGCAACATTTTGCGCGTGGCGTGGAACGAAACGTCGGACGTCGTACCGAACGACACGCGGAACGACCCGAAGACGCGTCGGCAGAAACGCGGCCGAGGTCAAAGCGCGCGCGGGTTTATCGGCCCGGCCGTCTGGAGCTTAGCACGATGTGGCGCTCCTCGAGCAATGGCGATCGTGCTGGGACGGCCAGACGTTCGTAAACATGGGCGTGCCCGACGCTTGGCAGCCCCCTGCCCCCCTTGATCCGGCCGTCCAGCCGTGCCACCGGACGTCGAGCCAAGTTCTCAGGCCACACAGTGGCCCGTTTGTCTTCTCCATAGCCAATATCAGAATGTCCTTTTTTTTTATTCCACGTGACGACAGTTAGCTCTTCTCATCACCAACGTGACTTTGTTTTCCTAGCAATCGCCACAAAACCCCGAGTCTCAGTCCGTGGCATACAAAAGCGTTGTTTTATTTTACTATACAGAACAGGAGCAGTGTGCTTTGTCGACAAAGTATTCAAAACGATCGACTTGAATACAGACTTTCCTCTTCTGTGTCCAAAGCCAAGACAGAGAGTCGATACAGAATTCAGGATATGATTTTTCCTCCTGATTAAAATATTTTAAAAAGAACCACAGCTAACATTGAGTCTATTAATAGCCGTGTTGGTGGAATCTTACAACCCAAAAAAACATTTCTGGGTCACAAGTTGGAGCCGTGTAGCCACTGGAAGATGATTTCCATGATAAATGTTCAACAGCTGCATGGCTGCATGACAATCTGGCTATGGAGCAGTAGTGTAGCATTACAAACCCGGCCACACGAGTTCGATTCCAACTCATGGCCACTGCTCAGCCTCAAACGAGTACCTGGTGCAGTGTGTAAAAATGTCAGCACTGGGGAGACAAAGGTGGCCAGGCATGGGGTTGACCACCCACCCCCTGATGTGCTGTACCAGCCTTTGTAGATGCTCGCTCAGAGCACTTTCCTCAAAAGTATGTTGGTTTGGCCATGTTTGTTGTAGTATGAAGTTAGAATGATGGCTTTAATCTAAGTTGTCTTGTGGTTGTTGTTGTTGTTGTTGTTTGACTTGCATCCCACTGGAATTTTTGCACACAGCGTTGGTGTACGGTGCTTTTTTTCTGAAAGACTTTGCAGTTTTGCCCTGGATTTTTCTGTTTGCGCAGTGACGTAGTCACTTTAAGATGTTTTCTTGTTCATGTTTTTGGTTTTTGTTTGTTGCGGTTGCACCCAGTTCAAGAGCCAAATGGCTCACAGGGCGATACCAAACAAATGAAACTGAAACGAAGATTACACAGGGGATCTTTATGTTTTGGCGCATGGAACATTTACCACCCTCGCCGTGTCCCACGTAACAGCTCTTGGCAAACTTTTTAACGCCGGTTAATATTTTAATGTTCCCTTTGACCAAATCACCATGCATACACCTGATCTTGTCGGATCTCGAAAGCTAAGTTGGATTGAGTCTGAATAATCCCTGGATGGGTAGTACCAGGTTTTGTAGGATTGGGCTTTTAGGTGGTCAAAGAATAGTACAGCAATGGATACTTGAACCCTTTGAGCATTGCTTTGGTCCTTATCTCATATGCATGGCTTTTCTCAGGGTACTCTGGTTTCCTCCCACATGCCAAATGGAATTGTCCAAATATTTCAATGCAGGACTCCCCTGCATTGAGGAGCGCGCCTTTACTGAATGAAGGGCATTATTATGAATGTACCCTACCAAAAGCCATTGAAATATTGCAATGACACTGCTGTCTGTCGTCTTGTTACAGTCGAAAGAATCGTCGTCAGTGCTCAGCTGTGACATCTCCGGCGATGACAAGTACATCGTCACTGGCTCCGGGGACAAGAAGGCCACTGTCTACGAGGTGATCTACTGAAGCGGGTCTGCCATTCTTCTCCAGCTGGACTTGAGCTGTGGGGCCTGGGGTGGTTGCAAGGCGATGAACTTTGACCTGTCATGGACTGCGTGGGTCACGACGGCCTCCGAGCGCCGGGCTCGTTGCGGCGTTACAGACTCGTTCACGAGAGCAGAGACCCGATCTCGCTTGGGACGCGTGGCCGCACACGCACAGTGCCGGAGAGCTGTAAATAGCAATGCCAATGAGTTTGAGACGTCTGTGTCCCCTGAAAATTTGTTTATTTCAAAAAACACGTAGAGCCTAGAAATCCTACCTTGAGCAGCTGAGCTGAAACATAATGAAAATCATCAAAATGAAAATAAAGTTTTTAATTTGATAAGAATTAATTGACAAAAAAAAAACATGCACGGAATTAAATATTGGCAAGCAATGGAAATCAAAATCCTGCTGGGACGGGCATTTTTTTCCACGATGACCCTGGGAACGAGAATGTGGCTGATCTCCCACAGTTCACTGTGAACTTCTCCGACAACGATGAAGTTGATGATTATGACGCCAGCGACTGACGATGATGACTGCACATCTACTGTATACGGCACTGCCGACGTTGAGAGAACACAGCTCAGCCGATTCAGCTGAGCACTTGTTTCTAAGCTGCATAAAGAAAAAAAGAATTTCAGCAAGAGATATCAAGAGGAATGGCCAACAAATCGTACATTATAATCAGCAGCGGCAGCAGCAGAAGGAGGAGGGGGCGACGGCAGATGGACGTGGGACCGAAGGTGTTAGCTGTGTGGCGCGAGGGGTGCGACTCCACGGGAATTCATTTGCGTTCGAGAGGCGGTCGCTGATGCCTAAACTCAGGGAGCTTTGCGGTTAATCAGATCACTTTTCAAGTCGTCTGTGCATGACGGTGGTGGGCAGGGGGGGGGGGGGTTACCGGTTGTGCACCGCAAATCGGTCTTTTCCCCAAGACACGGGAGTCTTTGTTTGGCTGAATTTCGCTTGACGCCTTTTGGCAACAAACCAAGAACTCTGCTCTCACTCGCATTCACTGCCGGGGGTTTCTTGTCATAATTTATAGGAGACAGCATAAAATAATTTTACGTAAAAGAGAATTTCATTTTTTTGTACTGAACAAAATGAGTGGACCTAAATACGATGATATTAATAACATACCGTAGCATTTTGATCAAAAGTAACTCTCGCAAACTAACATTTTGCTTCATTACACAAAGCTGTAAAATAACGTGTAGACGTGCAAGATAACTGTTCTCAGCTTAGCATTGTAGACTTCTGGTCTTGTAATAGCGGTCACTATAACATTAATTGTAAAAATAATAATAAAAAAAGACAAGAAAAAAAGAGATGAAAACTTACTAAAGCTGACACTTTTTTTCTCTCTCTGGTTTTTTTTGTTTAAACATCTAAGGCTACGATGTTGATGTTAGAGGGGTGCGGCGCGCGGCACTCTAGATAACGCACGGGAGCCACGTTCGCCCGGCGTCTTGCGAGCGCGTGGGGGAGTGAACGAGGCCCCTTGAGGTCACCAGGCTGAGGTCACCGGGCCGAGGCCACCGGGCCAAGGCCACCGAGCTGTCACGATACCGTCTACTGCCACGATACCGTCAGACCCTGATCCTGTTGCGTTTGTGTGCAGCCATCGGCCCCGCGGGTGACGACGGGCGGAGCTGCAATATTTCTGAGCGATAACTGCCCTCAAGGAGGAGGCTCTGCTGAATGAGATTACGGATTAAGATTATCGGCCGCTCGGACGAGAGGCGGCCTTGTGTGCCAGTGGGGTCAGGTGGTGTGCGATGGAATGCAATGAGAGATTTGAGAGATGTTAGAGCAGCCATGTGCTTGGGCCATGAACATTTTTGCTGCAGAAAGGGATTAGTTTATATATATTTAATTTTCTTCTAATTTTCTCTTCTTCCCCAAAAAACACATTCTGCACAATGATCAGTTTGAAATTTTGGTTTTCTTTCAATGGCTTGAGACGCATGGTTTGAGAGACTTAAAAACACAGTAGCTTTTATTTGGCCAGTGGTTCTCGGTGATATGGGACCGCGTTTTGATAATTTTAACATTTGTGAGATTTCTGCTGGCAGATGGGGGGCATACGTTTTATTTTCTGCGGCTGTACCTCACCGGATATACGGATGTTATCAAAAAGTGTCTGCTAGGGAGGGTGATAAAATGGCACAGAATGCCAGGGCATTATTACTGCCTGCAAAGTGAAGTAGGTCTGCTTTCCTGAACCAGATATATCCATATTATATTGAGAAATATCTTAGCTCCCATGGTGAATTATTTCTACCACATTTGTGGTTGTTAAATAAATAAATTCATGCCCGCACAATTATGCCCACTGCTCACATCTATATACAAGGCTTAACAAGGACTTGTTTTCATCTGTTAGGACAACAATAAAGATTCCTGTATAGCCATAGACTGATGGGTAAAGTGATGTTACCGAGCACCTATTAAGGCTTGGCACAGCACATGGTGGTGTCGTGTGGCCAGCATTATGGCCATCCGCCTTTGCCTCCCCTTTGCCATGTTTGCACACACACCATGTCCTCATTCATGGTTGATTCAACCTATGGGAGGTCCAGGAACGGTTTAGATGCGACTGGCCACTGAAATTATCCGTGGCTGGGAATTTAATCAAGGTCATCGGGTTCATGGTGTAGTGCGTGAACCACTGCGTCTTCGCTCCACACGCACGCATATATTTCACACTTGCGCACACACACACAGGATAATAAGGTTTTTGCTTTAAAGCAAGATGAAAATACAGTTCCTGCACCATCGGAGACCATAATCTGTCAGGAATGTTAAGTTAAAAAGACGTCACGTACATCAAGAAGTATCGTTCTGTTTTTTTGTCTCCAGATATTTTTTGGGGTCCCCTCCCCCGCTGTTTTGTGTGCTCGCCGGCACTTTGTAAAATATAAACGTCGGTCGCCGAATAGTGGAACTTATGACCTGGATGAGAAATAGTTTGTGTGTGCACGTGCGTGGGTGCGTGCATTCACTATAGGATCCTCTGTAGTGTACATGATGGACGCGATATGAAAGCCATGCAAGCATGCCCTAATGCCGAAATAAATTAGTTTCAAAACAATAAATATTGTTATAATTAAAAAAAGACAACACAATAACAACTACGATCAATACCGCAAGCTTTCAGAGAGGATGTATTTGTTCAGGTCTGAATATTTTACAGGGCATTCTGTTTTGTACAATATGTTTTATCACTAATATGGGAAGTTGGAACCCTGTTAATAAAAAAAATAACAACAATAAATCAACACCTGTTATAATGGTAAACATTGTTTTCACTGTGTATCCAGTAAGGTGGGTTTTTGTTTTTACTCCGAAAGGGCTGTCGGTTGTCATTCGTGGCAAAAGAATTAACTCGCGCGGAAACCAGGGCCAGCGCGCAAAGTGCTTGATAGAAGCAGCTGCACCTCCGCCATAAGGAGTGCGAGTTCAAATCCCAACCAGGATCGATCGGACCGTGGTCCCTTTGGGGTTCGTCTTGGGGAACATCACTTGGTCAATCGGTGATCGATGCAACCGTTGTCCAATGGGTAGTTAATGTTTCAAGTTTATTTTTGTTTAACCATGTGAGAACTCGCGATATCAGAATAGGCTTGTTTGCAAGAGTGACCAGAGGCATTCGTCTGCGGGTAGGGGGCAATGCCACATGCCAGAATATTCCAAGTTCAGTCCTCGCTCACGACTTTGTAAAAAAAAAATCTTAATTTAACATTGTATCTCTGGTGCAATAAAACAAATTTAACTGCTGCACATGCCTGATGATTGCTAAACATATCCCATGCGATGTGTAGACTGCTGATTCATTTGAGTGTGCACTCTACCTCACGTGACACACACAGGTCACTCGTAATTTGAATCGGCACTGTTTATCACATGAGACTTGTTTAACAAGCATCAGGCACGTGCGGCATGTAAGTGCTTTATTTCTATTACAAAAGGAGCTACATTATGAACCTAAGAGAAATGTTCCACGGCAGCTCGTGAGGAGTGAAGGCACAGGTAACCGCGTCGATGCCATATGAATGTGGAATTTCCGTCGCAGGATTATGAACGAAGATGAACGTGGGCCAAAGCTCATTAGAGCACAGGGGCAATGCTCCAGTGATCTTGTGACTATCCGTGGAGTGGGCAGATTACCCGGGCTCATTTGCACCTTTAATTGCACACCCAGGCGTCATTATGAGCCGCTCCTCACCCGTCGGAGGTCCAAGTCTCAGGCCCGTATTCTTAGTCACGGCTCGGTTCAGGCTTGTCTCTGGCTCAAGTGAGCCGGCTCAAAGTCACGCGCCGCCTCTGAGCACGGTTCCAGCAATGCTCAATAATTCCACGCGCTGAACGTGAGCCGAGCCATTGCTGAGCCGCTCTGGCATCTTTGCAAGCCACTGAGCGACGCAAACCTGCGGTGAGCTGTGTTAGAGACCATGACAGAGCCTAGCCGTGAATAGAACGTATGGGCCTCGATGCGCACACGACTGCAAACACGTCGCAAAGTAAACTGATACGTTGACAGTCACAACGGGCAGCGTGTTCTCCATCTCCATGTCCATTTTACGAAGCTGAACAATTATTTTGTATAGCCGGAGCCTCATTTACATATCCGATTTGCATTATCTGTTTTGTTTTATCTGGGCAGTCCCCCCCCCCCCCTTCACATTACCGCCGAATAATCAAGAGCCGTCTGTGCTTTAAGTCGTGAAACGTCTCGGTAAATGAGGTCTGAGTTGGAGAGAAGTCAAGTTCAGAGTGCGTTCATTTCCATAATTAAATATGCTTGTCTAATCAATGGGAAGTGTCCAAATGTCAGTCGGCTTGCCCTGCCACACAAGTCTGGGACACGGCAAAGCGGCGCGTGTGGCGGTGTGAAAATAATACATTACGGACAAGTCATCCGCAGCCTCCGTGAAGAGTGAATCAGTGCAGCTTCATCGACACAGATTCATCATCTCGGGAGCCGCGTGGGTCTCACCGCTCCTCGCCCACCCCGGGGAAGCGGAGAGCAACAAACAATGCTGGAGTGAAGGACCGTTAAACAGGGACACATCCATGATCTTCTCTCCGCAGTGGCCGAGTTTGGTCGGCACGGGCTCCAGTGCAAGGAATGATATGGACCCCCCCCCCCACCACCCAGTGTGCCTTTCGTTACCTGGCTCATCGGCGCCTCCGTCTTGTGGGCACTGGGGCAGTTGCACCGCCTGCACGGTTGAAACCTGCGCCACATCGCCTTAACAGACTCGGGATAAGTGATGATAATTATAATTGTCACTGGTGTTGGCCGTGAGCGGGAATCGAACACAGCACCACACGCACACGCACGACACAACGTCTCTATTATAATATGAATCAGCGCTGTCTTATCACATGACACACGTTAGACAAGCAGCGTGTAATTACTTAAAATACTCGGACTCCCTTTACACATCCAACGCGAGCCTAGCCCTGGCCCACTGACAGGCGGGCAGCAGGGTCGGCTTTCACGGGGGGGGGGGGGGGGCGTCGATGGACCAGGTCCCGTGTCTTGCGTCTCGTTGTAGAAACATTTCCAGAGACAATGCATCTTAGTTTCCTCTACAAATGAATGTAATCTAAGATAAGTTTCAGTTCAAATATTCTTCTGCAAACAACCTCTGGCTCATGCCCCACATGACACGCTCCATTGCTGCACACGCGCTCACCCCTCTCTCGACACGGACCCACACACCGAGCTGTCGGCGTAGCGTGGTTGACGTGCTCCCCTGTTTGCGAGAAATGAAATGGGGCCCCATTGTCCAAATCCCCCCTTCCCCCCGCCCGTTCGTAACTTGGCGCCTGGACCTCCCAGGGTCCTCCCCCCACCGACCCATGGGGCCCAAAGCACTCGATCGCTTACACCACAGCCTCAACTCACACCACGTCGGATTAGCGCCTTCGATTGGCGGCGTACTGTGCGAAAGAAGTTCAACATACATGCACACATCACAGCCCACCTGATGACGATTCCTCCCCATGGGGTTTTTTTATCAACTGAACGACGCAGTGTTAGAGCTCAGTCGAGATCACGAAGTCCCCCTATCCAGCGATCACTGGACACTAGCACTCACCAGCACACGCACATCCTTACCGACGCTTACCAACACTCCACAAAATACTTACCGGCACTTACCCCAAAATGTGACATCTTACCAACCAACGCTCGCCAGCACTCACGAGCACTTACAAGCACTTAAAACATTTACCAACACGCACCACATTTTAACCAAACGGTATTTTGCAAATACACTCGGCAATAATCACCACTGTACTCAGCATTCACTCACCCACAACTCTCCAGAGTTTACCGAAACTCATCGATACCCAAAATGTCACGAAATCTCACCACATCAAACGAAGACTTAACCTCAAATTCACCAGCACTTACCCATCCGCTTACCAAGCACGGCCCCCGCCCCGCTCAAACACACTGTTTTGCCTTTGCTTTAATTTATTTTATTATTGCATATTTCAAAACAAAACGTGCAGGCGTGCACACGCAATACTTTATTTATTTAAGTATCACTTAAATATTCATCTCCAGCTGCTGCGCGAACAAATTGCCCCCATGAATGTTTCATTGCGCTCGCTGGGAGCACCGCCACTTGCGCACATCAGCGCGCCCCACCGCTCACCTTTAATAATGATCACTCCAGCCGACAGGTAACTCACCCCCCCCTCCCCAGCCCCTCAACACAGGGCTCTGCTGTGAGGGTGGCGATTGTAGTGGGGATGGAGGTTCGGAATACGTGGTGGTGATGGAGTCCACTGAAATGTTTCCCCTCTCAAAGTCAACGGTTCGATTCCCGACCGCATGAACGGCGCTCAGAAAGGTGGTGGGGCTGGAGGGGGGGGGCTGAGTGGGTGACTGAAGTGGATGAGTAACTGTGGGGGGCTCAGTGGGTGGCTACGTCAGTGGCTAGCATTATACCTCCCTGGCTGAGTGGGTTGTGTGACTGGTGTGGCTGTTGTAGGCAGGTGGCTCGCTGGGTGAGCAGTTGTCCAGATGTCTAGCTAAGTAAATTGATAACTGGATGACTGGGTGGGTGGCTGGGTGGGTAGGTATGTATCTGCCTTGACGTGTCAATGGCTGCGTGGATGTTTGGGTGTGTATATGGGTGGGTAGTGTCGTCTTGATAAGTGGGTGACTCGGTGGCTGGGTACCTGGATAGGTAGCTGGGTATGTGACTGATAGATGTGTGGGTAAGCGGCTGGATGAGTGTCTTGGCCGGTTGCCTGGCTAAGATGGTGGCTGAGGATGTGACTCGCTTTAGATGGGTAGCGAGTTAGGTAGTTGTGTATGTGGCTCACGGCTAAGATGAATGCCTGAGTGTGGCTAAAAGTGACTGGGTGGGTAATTGGCTGAATGTGTGGCTGGGTTGCTGGCTGCCCGGCTAAGTGGCTGGATTATAGTTGGTGGGTGTCTGGCTGGATTAGTGGCTAGGTGCATGGATAATGGTATGACAGAACAACGCATACGAAGGCTGCATTTAAAAGGAGCACATTTGCCTTGGACATCGACCTTCGAAACAGGCATATTCGTTTGCCTCCAAATCATTGTTGCATACATACGGGAGCGTTAATTGCCTCCTCGACAAACCTTGCAACAACCTCGACTGAAACCAGACTTATTTGTGAAAGTGTATTTATTGCGTTTGTTGTGTTATCACAAGACTGGCTGCTATGTGATGAGCGATTAGGGTGCAGCATCAATATATCTGCACCTGCGGTCTCTTAATTGCTTCAAATTTTGCCGTTTGCGTCTCAATGTTGCCATTTGGCACTCCGCCCAAACGCGTGGTGTGTTTAGTGCGATATTTGCAAACTCTAGAGCAGAGTTTCTCAAAAAATGCAGTCCTCCAGACCAACCACGATCCACCTTCTCACGTTTACGAGTCTTCTCGCGGGGAGTGATAGATTTTCGCAAGGGGTTGGGAAGGTCTTCGTCCAGCTGCGGATTGATGATGGCCGATGACAATGAATGTTAAACGAGTCTTGGGTGAATTTCGATTTAAAGCTTTCGTGACAGCAGGGATTCATATTCTTGGTTCTTTCTGTAAAGTCACGTATAAGGGAAATAATAAAATACAATATTATTTTTATTTTTTATAATTATTTTTGTTATTTTTTAATATTTTATTATTTCCCTTCTACGTGACTTTACCGAAAGAACCAAGAATATGAGTCTTGGGTGGTTATCATCGTTATCTCCGTTGGCAGCTCTGAGAACTAATATTCGTGGAAATGCCACGTTCTTATAGCCGGATATACACTTGATCGATATCACTGACTGCCTATCTCTGCTTCAACCCCAAAATTATATTCCATGCGTACCATTTGTATCAGCTATTAAAGTGCACGACCACGTCGGGAAACTGTTCTATTCGGAAAGGCATGTTGGTCGCAACAGCCACGTGTGAAGTGACTTGTAAAGCTCCAAGAGGTACACTCCTCACTCGGCGCAAATCATGATCAGGGCTTTAAATTCAGCTGGGTTCTGTCCGGATAACGCTTTAAATTCAGCTGGGTTCTGTCCGGATAACGTTTTTGTGATTTTTCTCAACCGGCACACCACAGTCGGTACGCATCTCGCTATGACCGTGACTGGTAGACTGGAGTGCCGTTTACTCCAGTCTACCAGCAGCCCGGAAGATATTCAGTGAGACGTTTAACAGCGATGACCATGACAAGCCCAGTCAACGGTGGATGGGATTTGAACGCTCGATTTTACGACTGAGAGACCGGCTGCTCCACGAATCGAGATACATCCCGGATCTTTATTAGATAAAGTCGTTTTCCTTTTCCCAGTGCTCTCCTGCGCGCTCTCTCCCATTCTCTCTCACTCTCCCTCACTCCACTGCTCTCCGTGTCGCTTACACAGCCCGTCCCGAATAGACCGGCTTCGCACCATTAAGCGGCAGAGAAATATAAAAAAAAATCTATCTATCTATAAAATGAAATATAAAATGAAATTATGATAAAACCCCCTCTGGGTGACCTGAACACAGTTAAACGCGATGAGCATGCGGAGAGGAGGAGGAGGAGGAGGGTGAAACGAACTATGAACATTGGGGTGGGGGGGGGGATATCTCCCATACTTGACATTATATAACTCGGTAGGGCTATTTTGACCTCAAGGTGCGTGTTTGTGGGTATGCGATTCCTTTTGTGAGAGAGACGCTAATGCAGATGGGGTAGCGCACGACGCTACGAACACAGCCACCTGAGTTCGATCCCCGTCCACGGCTAACTTTAGTGGCAAATATCTGAACCAGTACGCGTCCTTCCCCTAGGTCGACTCGGCCTTAAGTGAGTACATACATGGCTTGGTGTGTACATATCAGCATCGGATAGACAACGGCGGCTTGGCGTGGGTTTTGGCCACATTTCCTTCTCTCGCCCCTCCTGCCGAACTGAATAGGCTGCTCGTTAACAAGCACTTGCCCCAGTAGCCTGTATTTCTCCATGGTGAATGTTTATATTTGCACACAGCATTGTATTCCTGCGTAATGACCACGATTCACAACGCCGGTTGTAATTGTTTTCCGCACTTAGCCTGGCCCTCCCCATACGACGATTCTTCCTAAAATGATGAGCTTCCGTGCTCGAGTGTAAAAATGTCACGGCCTGCCCTGGCTGCCTTAA